GTCTTCCTGGTAGTGATAGTACCCTATCACTGATAACATTGTACTTCAGGTTAGATCTTGAAACATTCTTTGTGATGCTGAATCCTGTGCCATCTCTCTTCAATTTGTCATTCCTGGCATAGTGGATCATGTGGTTATCTGATTGAAAATGGCGAAAACCAGTCTGTTTCAGCTCACTAGTGCCTAGGATATTGATCTTTATGAGTTCCGTTTCATTTTTGACTATTTGCAATTTTCCTACATTCATACTTTGTACATTCCATATTCCGATTATTAATGGATGTTTGCAGCTGTTTCTTCCCATTTTGAGTTGTGCCCAACAGCAAATGGAGGTCAGAAAAGCTTTATTCCATCCATGTCATTAAGGTTGACTACTTTGAGGAGGCAGCTCTTCCCCAGTCATACTTTGAGTGCCTTCCGACCTGAGGGGCTCATCTTCTGGCACTATATGAGATAATGTTTCAAGGATATTCATAAAGTTTTCCAGTAATATATCAGACAGTGTTTCACTGCTATTCATAACATTTTCACTGGCCAGTTATTTGAGAAGTGGATGTCCCCTTCCTTCTTCAGAGTCTGTCTTACTTTGGAAGCTGTGCTGAAACTTGTCCACAATGCGTGATCCTGCTGGTATTTGAAATACTGGAGGCATAGCCTCCAGCTTCACAGCAACACACAAGCCACCAGTGACAAGTGATGGGTATACGTTACAGCTATCACATTTCAGAGTTTCAGGCCAAGTTATAGAAAACTAGTTCCTCATTGTAAAGGTCCCAGAAAAATAAATTTTTTTTATTTTTACTGAAACAATTTAGTTTCTCTGAATGAAAGCATGTCTCATTTTAGGTAATTATTATTTTTTCCATTCTTTCAACTTAATAAAAAAGCCCACAATGTGTTGAGCACCTGTTCCATTTAATGTGCTGAGCTAATCTCTGTGGCATACAGTGTTTTGGTTACCTAGTGCTGCTCTGACAGGAATATACCACAAATGGGATGACTTTAACAAACAGGAGTTTGTTCTCTTACAGTTTTGGAGGTTAGACATCCAAGTTCCAGGTGCTGAGCTCTAGGGCCTGGGTGACAGCCCCTCAACCTTGTGCTTCAGCTTTGCTTCTGGCTCCTGGCCCACTGAAGCTGGAGGCTTTCTTTACTCAGGCAGCTGCTGGCTGCTGAGGCTGCCAAACCCAAGGTCAACAAGTAAAAAGGCACAGTCCTGACTGATGTGACCGAACCAGATAGCAGGCCATTAATTCAAGTCCATTGAAAGTCCCAAGATGAACAGAGCATGGCAGGCTACTGAAGAAAGACTTGGCTACTTGGAGGGCTCAAGTGTACCAAAAAGCTGCAGACCTTTCTCAAAGTTGCTTCTTATATACTGGAAGCAGCCCACATCCCCAAAGCAGCTACTCAGCTACTCTAGCAGATTCTACCATGGAGTTAATTACCAATCTCACCATAGGGAACAACTACATCCAGTTGCCCAGCCACTCAAGCAGGCCCAGCCAAGCTGACATACAACCTTAACTGCCATATGTTGTTGTTGTTATGTGCCGTTGAGTTGGCCCCAACTCATAGCGACCCCTCCTTGGGTTTCCGAGGCAGTATCACTACAGAAGTAGGATTGCCCAACCTTCCTTCCAAGGAATGGCTGCCACATATACCCACATAAATAAGCAGCAGTACCTGTCCTCAAGATGCTTTCTAATTAATAGGAAAAGGGAGGTAGAACAGGCTCTGGAATTATCTCCCTACTTTGTTGATCTCTGACTTAAATTTTGGATATTTTTTCCTTCCGAAAGCCTTTACCGGCCAAGCAAATTTGTCTTGGAAATGTGTTCCTCATCTATTTCCATCTAGAATCTTGTACCTTCCTTGTAATAGCACTTGTACACAGTGGTAATTGCCTGGTTTTCTGTCTGTTATATGGACTGTAAGTTCCTTGAGAGTCAAAACCATATTTATTTTGTTCTCTCATACTGTATGTGTTGAATGGAATGAATGAAAATTCAAAAATAATTATACAATCTAGACCTCTGGGATGGAAAAAAAAATTAACAGTTTATCAGTCAGTCTTGCATTTAGGTGTAAAACACTGTGATGTCCATACAGGATAATGTTACCACTGAGTTAGCCATGTCTCATGGTGACCTGTGCATAACAGGATGAAATGTTGCCTGGTTCTGTGCCATCTCCACGATGTCTGGTATGTTTGAGCCCATTGTTGTGGCTGCCGTACCAATCCAGCTCATATAGGATAATCAGAGCCTGGTATTAATTCAATAATTTTTAAGGCCCTACTGCGTAGTGGCTAAGGCATTTGACTGCTAACCGGAAGGCTGGCGGTTCAAATCCACCAGCCACTCCTCAGAAGGAAGGTTGGGCAATCTACTTCCGTAGTGATACTGCCTCAGAAACCCAAGGATGGGTTACTATGAGTCGGGTCCGACTCAATAACACCATAGTGCCAGGTACTTTTCTAGGCATTGATAATATGTAGCAGTAAACAAAACCAAAGTCCAAGCTTTCGTGGAGCTGACACTCTGGTGAATGAATATAATAAATTAAACATAATAAACAAGACAGTATTTCGCTAAGTATTGGAAGAAAATAAGGAGTGATGTGATAGAGTGGGAGGGCTGTGTTACTTTGGATTGGATTGGATGTGAAAAAGCTAAGGATTAAATTAATACGAGAGCAATATAAGCGGATCATCATTATGAAGGCTAGTACATGAATAGAAATACTTAGGGATCCAGATTGTTTGTGTAACAGTCCATGTTGAGTCTGACACAGAGTGTAGGGTATCCAATTTAAAAGGAACATTAATGAACTACAGAGAGGCCAGTGTGAGCTCATCAGCCCTCACACCCTTCACCCCATTTTACCTTCCTCCTGTATTTGCTGTCACAAGATGGTGCGAATTTTGCTCCCATTTACAACCCTAAAGGCAGTTGGAGGCCACCTAGCGGCACCGTAGAAGAAAGGCCTGGCCATCTACTTGCCTAAAGATTACAGCCAAGAAAACCCCATGAAGCAGTTTTCTGTACACGTGGGGCTGCCACGAGTCAGAATCAACAGCAGTGGGTTTGGTTGTCATTCACCTGGTTAGAAACCTGTAGTGGGTTTCTTTAATAGGGGCTCCAAAATTACTGAATGAATATCAGGCTTTTATTATCCTCTATGGATGTGCACAATCACCACAACAATGAGCTCAAACATATCAGAGACCATGGAGATAGGGCAAAACTAGGAGAGTCTCCTGGAGTTACATCCACCACACCAGCCATATCCAACTGATCACAAGGTTCTAAACGTTCCTCAGATGGATTTCTTAACTCTGGGCCTCTTCTGTATTCACACTGGTATTATTTCAGTTCTAGGTTTCTTTCCTTAGAATATAAATTGCCTCCTAACTAGTCTCCCTGTTTCCTGTTTTTGTCCTTCACATTTTTGCAGAGTTCTTTGTAAAATGTAATATTGGTCTTATCAAGTGTCCAAGCTAGGCATTTATGCAAAAGAAGATACTCTTAATTATTCTGGGGAAAAATAAATTAACTTGCCTGGCAAATTGGAACATATAGTCATACTAGTCATATACTCCCCTGTTTAAAAACCTCCAATAATTTTCCACTGCCCACAGGAAAAGTCAAACTCTGTAAAATATTTAAGGCCCTATTCTTCTACCTCTCATGCACCTTGGGCTCCAGTCCTATGACTTTCAGCCCAACACATCCTGCTCTTTATGGCTCTGGAGCCAATTGCTAGGTTTGACACTCAGCTCCCCTTACTAGCTTCAAAACACTAAGCAAGTTACTCAACCTCTATTATCTCAGATTTGTAAAATGAGAATAATGCAAGGATTAAATGAGATAATGCACACAAAGAAACTCCTTTTATTATAGTACCTGGAACATAACAGTAAATGTTAGCTGGTATCTCTGTAATGTAGGCCACATTCGCAAAACCTCACGCATTAAATAAACACCAGGTTTGGAGATGGGAAGTTACCCAAGGTCACATAAATGACGAGACATGTTTTCTCATTGTATTCCAGTTCTCTTAGTGACCTGAGGGCAGGGAACATCTTACTGCAGATTCCTCACCCTCAAGTAGAGTGTCTGGCACCTAGTGCCCAAAGATGTTCCATGAGATCAGATGACCAAAGATCTGGGCGATCACAAAGAAAAATGTTAAATTCTGAAAAAGAGAAGAGAGGCTGTATGTCAGGGTGACTGACAAATTATTTTTGGCCACGTGTGGAAGAGAGAGGAAGGGCGGGCCCTGGGGCAGCTCTGGGATAGATAATTGGGCCTACTGATCTACCTGACACAGAGACAAATTTTGGCTTACTATAAAAGTACTGTAGATCCCTGGGTGCCACAAATGGTTAAGCACTTCATTATTAGCAGAAAGGCTGGTGGTTCAAAACCACTGGGGCACCGCTGAAGACGCCTGGTGATCTGCTTCCGGAAGGTCACAGCCTTGAAACCCCTCTGGAGCAGTTCTACTCTGAACACATGTGGCCGCCATGAGTCGGATATGACTTCACCGCAACTAACAACAACACAATTAGTAAAATATCTTTATAAACAAAGAGGACTGTCCAACACTGAAAAAGCTGCTTCCTGAACCACTTGCTCTGGGGGCAGTCCTGGCGCCCAGACGAGACAACGTGACCTCTGTACCTCGAAGCTGTATGGGAAGCACCGCCTGGCCAGGGATCCGGGGCAGCGATTTACAGACCCCAGAGGGGGACATCCATGCCCTTGTCGGAGCCCTTCGGTACCACGCAGTTCCCACCACTCGCTCGCTAACGCAAGCCCAAGGCCTCGCTTTCCCCGCCCGCCCCGAGGGCGTGAAGCCCTAGCCGCGGGATTAACCAAGAAGGCCAGCAAAGCTGGACCGGAAACAAAGAGAACTGCTTCCGGGTCAGGGGAAAGGCGCCACCATGGAGCCTCGCGGGGTTACGGGGCCGACGGAGCCGCAGGCCGGCGTCTAAAGACAGGGAGGCGCAGTGCTGCTCGCGCCGCAGGGGACCGGCGGGTCGGTCCTGCAGGCTGGTTCCGAAGGCCCGCGGCCGCCGCCATGTCGGTGCTGGGCGAGTATGAGCGACACTGCGATTCCATCAACTCGGACTTTGGGAGCGAGTCCGGGGGTGGCAGGGACTCGGGCCCGAGCCCCAGCGCCGGTCCGGGACCGCGAGCCAGCGGCGGCGCGGTGGAACAGGAGGAGCTGCACTACATCCCCATCCGCGTCTTGGGCCGCGGCGCCTTCGGGGAGGCCACGCTGTACCGCCGCACCGAGGTAGCGGCCCTCGGCTCCGGCCGCCGAGCCCGGCACACCGGGCTGCCCGGGCCCCTCCTTCTGTACCCCGCTTTCCAGCCCCAACTGGTTGTCAGTTTTGCCCGCGTCTTCTCTTCCTTACTTAGTGTGCGGACTCCCGCGGGGCATATGTTGCAGGCTTTTCTCCGCTACTCTTCCTCACGTGCACCAGGGATTCGTTACAGTGCTGGTTTTACTATTGGTCGTTTTTGTTAAACCTGGGAACTGAGCAGGTGATCACTTAACTTCTGTGAGCCTCAGTTTCCCATCTGTAAAATGGGGCTAGTGAGAACTACTTTTAAAATAGTAATGACTTTTATTTCTTAAGGCCATTTTAAGAATTAAATGTGTTATTAAAACTGTAACGTGATGTACGAATGAGACGTATTGGCAAAACTAACTTTCTCAGGCTGTGTAGCTCTCCAGGGTCGGAGTGGGTGAACGGGGTGGGAAGGGGCATAGCTTCAGTATCCCCACACCAGTGGCAACTCTGTTGTCTTTGCCATTATTTTTAAGTTCGCATGTGAACACTCAGTTGCAGGTGGTTCTTGAAGATCATTGGGAAGATCGTAGTGTGTTGGTTTCTTTATCAGTATTTATCCAGCGGTACTCATGCATGAGGTATACTTGATTGTATTGTAAGCGGTTAGTGCTTAACCTTTTGGGGGATGAAGACACATAGTTAACTCTTGCCCCACCCCCAGGAATCCACACTTGTACATGTATGCTTCCTTTGAAGAGCTCCAGAGATGACTGAGCACCAAGTTACTGATCTAAAACCCCGCAGTGGTGACTCTAGTATCAAAACCTAACCACAAACCGGGTTTGATAACTAAAGTCTTAAAACTCTACTTTTAGAACAGTTCAACGTGTAATGAGAATCTGTTGTGGTTGCTAAAGGTCTCATTCCCTGCAATTCATCTGTCAGCGATCCATCTGCAGTGCTGGTGTGTATTCCAAGCCAGCACACTAAAGGCTGAAAGACTGCAGAGAGAGGTGGTTGCAAGAGAATATTTTTAGTGTTCTTTTTGATTCCACAAACCAAAAAACCAAACTGCCATTGAGTTAGATCTGACTCATAGCGACCCCTCCTTGGATTTCCGAGGCGGTATCACAACGGAAGTAGATTGCCCAACCTTCCTTCTGATGAGTGGCTGGTGGGTTTGAACCACCAGCTTTCTGGTTAGCAATGAGATGCCTTAGGCACTAGGCCATGATGTTAGAGTCACTGTTATTCTTAGTATTCTGTGTTCTTATTTGTCCTCAATATGAAAAAGAGGAGTTAGAGAAACAAAGAGTGTTTAAGTGACTTGTTCACTTCAGTTAGAGGTTAACCTTGGACTAGAACTGGGTCTCTTATCTCCTTGCATGTGTCTTCCCATTTTCATCACGTTGGAATTCATGAGTGGGATTGTTTTAAATCAAATTTAATTACACTTCCCAAAAATGTCATAGCTTTATATCACCAAATATTTATTGATATGTGAATTTATAGTGGTTTAATTAGAAACAGCCTTTTTCCTCAAGAAACTTATATTTCAGTGGGAAGATGTTAGCATGTTAGTAAACAAAGAGAATCTAAGTTGTATCTGTATATAAATTTAAAAGAATGGAAGATACTATTTCAGTGTACGAGTTCTGAAAATGAAGGGAATGGTTGTGTTGAATCAATGTGGAGTAAAAGGTTCACATTGAACCTTTTCTCAAAAAAAAAAAAAGTTAATTTTTTTTTAAAAGGGATCTTGCTTTTTTGCTTCCTAAAGGAGTTTTAAAGACCTGACAGAGCTGTTCTTAAGGTTGAGGACAGTTATTTGGTGGAGATCCTTCTGGATTGCAGAGTAGTGTCAGTAAAGAATTAGAGATATCATGAAAGGGAGTGGACACTGGACATGAGTTTTCATGAGTAGAAGAAAGCATGTGATACTTAAAAGTATGACGGGATACAGAGTTGAAGAATGGGGCAAAGCAAGGAAAGTGAATTTAAGGCCCTTAGGCTTGACTTGAGGAGCTCTGGTAGCACAGTGCCTAAGGCATCTAACTTAATCAGAAGGTTGGTGGTTCAAATTCACCAGCCACTCTGCAGAAGCAAGACTGGGCAGTCTACGTCATAAAGATTTACTATTGCAGAAACCCAGTGGGGATCACCGTGAGTTGGACTCCACTCAACTCAACGGCAGTGGGTTTGGTTTGGTTTTCTTTTTAGACGTGACTTAGGGCACCAGCCACTCCTCGATCTACTTCCGTAGAGATACTGCCTCAGAAACCCAGGGAGAGGTTGCTGTGAGTCAGAAACAACTTGACAGCAGTGAGTTTGATCTGGTGTTGGTTTGAAGGCAGTAGTGGTTCAGTGGTAGAAATCATGCCTTCTGTTTGGGAGACCTAGATTCGTTGCTATGATGCTGAGCCACTTCCAGCGGAGTTTCTAGACTCAGACAGACTGGAAGAAAGGCCTAGATCAACTGATGAAAAGCATATGAATCACAAAGTTCAGATCCAGTTGTATGTGGGGTCACGGTGAGTCAGAGAGCAACTTCATGGCAGCTAGCAACAACAGGCGTGACTTACCTAGAAAGAGTAAATTAAAATCACATCAATCTTTGATGTCTGCATTTACAAAATTAGAGGTAAATTCAGTATTTTCTTTTTATGAGAAGTTGTGTGGTCAGCTATAGATAGCTGCTCTCTGGTTCTCTACTTCCTCAGCTTCCTCCCTGGTTTCCCCATTTCCTTTCTCCTATCTTCCTTGCTCCTTCCTGCCTTCTGAACTTTGTTTTTGGGCAGATGCTGCCCTTTTGGTCTCATGTGGTTGATTGTTCTGAGGACCACATTCCTCATGAGTGTTATTGGTCACTTTATAGGTCTGTCTATTGTTTGACTGAAAGGTGATCTCTACAAGAGGGTTCAGTTCCAGGTGTGAGGGTGTCTAAGGGCCATAGTCTCAGGGGTTGCACCAGTCTCTTATCAGACCAGTAAGTCTACTAGTCTTTTTTATGATTTGAATTTTGTTCTCCATTTTTCTCCCACTGTATCCAGGACCTTCTGTTGTGGTCCTGATCAAAGTGGTCACTAGTGGTAGCCAGGTACCACCTGGTTCATCTCATCTCAAGGTTGTGGATGCTGTTGCTCATGTGGTCCATTAGTACTTTCGACTAATTGTTTCCTTGAGTCTTTGATTTTCTTTATTCTTCCTTGTTCCAGATAGGAAGAGATATCTTAGCTGCTCCTAGCTGGTGTTTTTACCTGAAACTGACAAGCAAATTATGTAGGGCAACAAAGCTGCAGCATCTTCATGCTTTACTAACCCCAGTCCTGCAGTGAATTACGATCCTCAATTGTATGCACAGCTTTTAACTAAAGTCTGTTCAATTTTTAAAAATATATATATTTTTTTGTGAGCTTCTTTAATTGTGTTTTAGGTGAAGTTCCTATTTCTTTTAAAGCAAAACCAAAAAAAAAAAAAAAAATCAAACTCACTGCCATCAAGTCGATTCCTACTCATAGCGCCCCCTCCTTGGGTTTCTGAGGCAGTATCTCTATGGAAGTAGATTGCCCAGTCTTCCTTCTGAGGAGTGGCTTGTGGGTTTGAACCGCCAGCCTTCAGGTTAGAGGTCAAATGCCTTAGGCATTGCCCTGCCAGAGCTCCCAGTTATTTCTTTGAGTCTTTGATTTTCTTTATTCTTCTTTGCTTCAGATAGGAAGAGAGATCTTAGCTGCTCTTAGCCTGCATTTTTTACCTGAAAATGACATGCAAATTGAGTGGTCAACAAAGCAACAGCATCTTCATACTTTACTGCCCCCAGTCTTGCAGTGAATTATGGTCCTCAGTTGTACGCACAGCTTTTAACTAAAGTCTGTTAGTTTTTCTTTTAAAATATACTTTCTCATAAACTTCTTTAGTTGTGTTTTAGGTGATGTTCCTATTTCTTTTAAAGGGAAAAATAAAAGAACTAATCTCTGCCCTGTCCATCTAGGAAGTTTTCTTTCTAGGCTTGTGAGCCCATGTGGAATCTTTTTTTTTTTTTTTTTAATTGTGATTTGGGTGAAAGTTTACAGAGCAAATTCACTTTCTGTACAGCAGATCACATACACTTTGTCTCATGACATTGACTACAATTTACCCCAATGCAACAGCTCCCCTCAGACTTTCTCCCCATAGTTACCTCATTCCTGTGTCCATCCCTCCATGCACTCCTGCCCCCTGAGCTGTTTCCCTGTGCATAAGCTGCCCTTCTTTCTCCCATGATTGTTCTCTCCAAGGAGTGTATCTACCTAGTGTAAATGTTCAGCTCATATGCCTGTTTTTTGTTTGGCTGGAAGCCACAGGTGTGGCTTCAGTTCCAGACCTGAAGGGGCCATAGTCTCAGTGGTTCCGCCAGTGTGTATCAGACCAGCAAACCTGGTCCCGTGTCTGTCTCCCCCCGCCCGTGTGGATTCTTTCACTGTTAGGTGAGAGGAAAGCACTATACCTCTGTTACTGTGTTGTAGGATGACTCACTGGTTGTGTGGAAGGAAGTTGATTTGACCCGACTGTCTGAGAAGGAACGCCGTGATGCCTTGAATGAGATTGTTATTCTGGCGCTACTGCAGCATGACAACATCATTGCCTACTACAATCACTTCATGGACAATACCACCCTGCTGATCGAGCTGGAGTATTGTAATGGTAAGGGAGAATTCCGGGAGACTTCCTCCAGCAAGCCATTCTTGTGCTCATACTTACCTTGAGGGGGAAAATAAAGAAAAGGCATATACAGTGATGAAAACTTTAAATGGGGTTCTAGAGTTAAAGACCAATAGTTTAAGCCCTGGAGAGTTTTGAAGTGATGGACATAATAAGGAGTGGGATTTTCTTCTGCATACTCAACCCTTGAGATTATAGCTCCATCTTCAGTTGGATTTTATGTTCGTTTTTAAAGTTGTTCCCCCCCCCCCATAAAATGACATTAGTCAGGTATTAGAGACAGTGCTGAGTGGCTCTTTTGATACAATATGAAATCTTACAGATGATATTTATATTAACTTGTGCTGAAGCTATCCTATTAAAAAATGGTCAAAAAAATCATAACTGAATGAAAATGATACATAGTAAAGCCTGGCCTTATTTATCTTGTCTCTGATTTCTTTGGACCATGTTGTTTATAAGGTGCAGTATTCCCTAATTGTTAAGAGAAGACTCAAAACCCATATCCTAAGCTCTGTAACCTTGAGTAAGAAAATAACTTCTCTGTGCCTTACTTTCCTCATGTTAAAATGAATTTATTAATGATAGTACCTCCTTCCTAGGGTTGTTATATTAAATGAATTAATACATTTAAAGCCTTGATGTGTAACAAATGTTTGTATATATATTGTACTAGCTGGTACCTTTGCATAAGAGAACTTCTAAAGCCCTTTTTCAAGGTGTATGCTAAAGGAAAAATCCCACTGCCATCCAGTCAATTCCAGCTGATAGCAACCTTTCAGGACAGAGTAGAATCTGCCTCATAGGGTTTCTAAGGCTGTAAATCTTAGGGAAGCAGAGAAGCTAGTGGGTTCAAACCACTGACCTTTTGATGAGCAGCCAAATGCTTTAACCACTATGCCACCAGAGCTCCTTGCATGCTAAAGAGGTCCTAGCCTATTTCTCCACATAAATCTCTAAGAGAAAGCTCCCAGACTTCTAAGTTTCTTATCTAGACTCATGTGTGTTATGATTGTTTCTGGTTCCGATCAACCTTAAATGTATGAAATCATATTAGAGATGTTTGAAGGAACTGAAGCCTCAAGTAGTTAACTTCCTTAGTGGTTAGGAGGAACTAGAACAAATTACATATTTTTTGGAACTCTGAGTTTCTCGATTGCAGAGGAAGAAAAGTTGTAAATCTTAGCTGGGACTAAAGTGTAATTTATAGTTGTAGGTAGGAAATAAGATGAAGCATGATAATTCGCGGTCTGTGTTACTCAGTAAAAGGAAGGGAGAAGCAGACCCATGCTTATTCAGCATGAAGGAATTAGTAAAGAGAGTAATGGTTGGAAACAATCTAGGCAGAGACTCTGCACCTTGGGAAGCCTTTACAACGAGAAGTAGAAAAAGAAGTTGCCAATGATATATACACGGTCTGTGCAAAGCATTGCATCACAGGTGTAAGCTGAATGTTCTAGCAGTTACACTCGGAGAATTGTTACAGAAATATTGCAGATTCCTTAAAAGGGAATTCTAGAAAAGAAAATCATCTGATTTCAGAGACATTCAAGGTAAATTTCACTAACTGGGTGTTAGAAGAATGCTTTTCACTCTCATCTGTTTCAAAAATGCCACACCGCCCATTTTTGTATTGAGCTTCTTCTATTAGGAGAATCTTTGAACATATTTCTGATACAGGCCTTGAGAGATGGCAAGAGTTCTCTGCCATTGTGAAAAGCCAAGAGGGAGGAAGAGGTTTCCTTTGAAGAGGAAATGGAATCCCCCATTTTTTTGTTGTTGTTGTGTTGCCACTTGAACCCCATTAGATATAGATCCAAGCTTTGGTAGCTAATAAGCAATTCAAACCTATCTCTAAATAATCTTCTCTCTTGTTTAATTGCAGGAGGGAACCTGTATGACAAAATCCTTCGTCAGAAGGATAAGTTGTTTGAGGAAGAGGTAATTCATGTATCTGTGAAGGGAAGCTAAAATCGTGTGATGTTCTGATTCTTGCATTCTAGTTGTATATAACTCTTCCAACAATGAAGAGTGTTGTTCTCCTTTTGTTCAGACTCCTTCCAGGCTCTGATTGATATTCATGAAAAAGGAAACCTCTAACAAGGAAGCTGTCTATAGCTGCTTCCTGAATGTTTTACCTCCACATCATGATTCTCGGTGGGCTTTTTCCCTGGTTCTCTTACTGCATACTGGTATGCCCAGTTTTCTATACCTCTGCATTCTTCTTAGGGTTTCTTTCCACAAATCTGCTTCACCATACTATATTTTGTAATGATACTGAAAATATTCTATGATGACCTGCTTTTTCATCTTACTCATACCACTTTTCTTTGCCTATTCAACCTACAATCAAGAGATGTCAGGTCATAATGAATCATAACCTCTGGTTTCAGCTTCCTTTGTTTTTTGTTTGTGTATGTATGTATGTGTGGTTATTTAATTGAGATTTTTTGTTTGTTTGTTTCTAATCCCAAATATAATTTATTTTGTTTCTGCAGATGGTGGTATGGTACCTATTTCAGATTGTTTCAGCCGTGAGCTGTATTCATAAAGCTGGAATCCTTCACAGGTAATGCGTGAAGGAAAATTTATGCGTTTGATTGCTCCCCACCAGTCCAACCTCTACCTTGGCGTTTTACTTTCTTGATTCAATAATGAAAGCTTTTCCTCGTGTATAATTCAGAAAGAAGAGAGTGAGTAATGAGGGATCTTATCCTCACTTCCTGAGTTCACTCATGTTTATGAACTAGGAAGAATCTCCTCAGTAGATAGGTTCCTCTCAATCATTTCTTTTAGTGACATATTAGAGTTCATTTAATACATTAATTCATCAACAAAGCCAGAAGTGGGATTAGATTGCTTGGAATTCACAGTAAATGTCTTTACTGAGCAATAATTGACTTATTATTTTTCTTTGATAATTATTTTCTTTTAATTTAAATAAAAAGCTTATATATTTTGCACAATTAATTGTACGGTCTTATTAGATCTTTATTAAAAAAATACATTCATTTCTGGTCATAGGAGAGGCCATTATAAGAACATTCCCACTTTGTGATACCCATCTTAAGTGACTTATTGACCATTGCTAGAGATTAATTATGGGAACTCTGGTAGTGTAGTGCCTAAAGAATTTGACTGCTAACCAGAAGGCTGGCGCTTCAAACCCACCAGCCACTCCTCGGAAGGAAGGTTGGGCAATCTACTTCAATAGTGATACCGCCTCGAAAACCCAAGGAGGGGTCGCTATGAGTCGGGACTGACTCAGCAGCACATAACAACAACAACAACAGAGATTAATTATAATACACTAGTGTTTCTTTTTTTATTGGTTTGTTTATTTGGTTGACATACATATCTGGGTAGTTGTTGAATGGCTACTGATGCATATTTTTGTTTTCTTTCTAAAGTAATTGCATATATTGCTCAGGTTTATTCACACCTTTTCATAATGGAAACCAGAGTATGAACCAGGAAGTTTATTTTGTGTTACATGTAGTCAGTTAATATTTACAGAAGTAGCCGGTGGCTGTATTTAGATGAGCTCAACAGCCTAGTGATGTTGCCGCTGGGATTGCAGCCTCTTCTTGGCCTTAACACGTTATGTGAAACCTTGACAGACAACCCAGTGTTAGCATTGCCAAGTACTGATTCATCCAGTGCAGAAGTGGTAGTTGAAGAGGCAGTGTACCTCATAGGAATTATGGGTACCTGGAACACCATTTCCTCATACGACCTTTTCAGGTTTTCCTAATGGCTCTAGTGGTATGGAAGGACCTCTGGTAGTGTAGTGGTTAAAGCATTCAGCTGCTAACCAAAAAGGTCAGTGGTTCGGACCCGTGGCCACACCATGGGAGAAAGATGTGGTAGTCTGCTTCCATAAAGCTGTACAGCCTTGGAAAGCCTGTGGGGCAATTCTGCTTTGTCCTAAAGGGTTGCTGTGAATGGGAATTGACTCAATGGCAGTGGGTTGGGTGTGTTTAGTGGTATGAAAGACATTCCTGTGCTGTGAAGTCCTAAACAATGAAACTCATTTTCTGCTTTCCTTCTCCTAACTCCCTTTTCCAATGTCCAGGGTATGTGAAAATGATGGGTCACTTGGGATCCCATAAGAGAATCTGAGCAGTGGTGACATTTTTATTCTGTAAGAATCTTGCATGAGGTTTAGGATTAGATAAAACAGTTGACTATATAGGTTTAATATGCAGTACCTCTTTTTCAGAGATATAAAGACATTAAATATTTTTCTGACCAAGGCAAACCTGATAAAACTTGGAGATTATGGCCTAGCAAAGAAACTTAATTCTGAGTATTCCATGGCTGAGACGGTGAGTACATGTTACCCTTTACTAATTTTCTTTTTTTCCTCTTCAGTACTGTGGAGTATAACTACGCCCCCTAAATCTTGCACACTTTCCTCAGTATTCTTGCAGGTTCTCTGTACTTATAAAACAAGTCTTTGGAAGTCTTTTTCCTGGGTTCACTGGCAGGGATGTGTGTGTCTGGCTGTTCTGTCAGGAATCATTGCCATCATATGTCTGACTAGAGACCTTTATAAAGGCAACAGAATGCTTTTCTGTTTTCTTCTAGCCTAGGAGCTTTAATAGATCTCACTTTATCTCTTAGGTAATGTTTGAACGTCTCCTGGTGTGTTTTCTTTGCATGTTTCTGGTTCAGAGAGAAATTAATTTTTATAAATGAAGTCTTTATTTGTAAAAATGCCCAGAGAACAGTCTGAAGGGACTGTTGATAAAGACTAGGTATAAGTTGATCTTGAGGACAGTGATCTCATCCTTTTAGGAACTGTAAAACCCTGTTAACTACTTTTCTGGCTTCATAGTACTCTGTCCTTAAAAGAACTTGAAGATGTAAGTTAAAAAAATTATTCTGTCCTGATGGTGTGTTTTGGTAATGTCAAGATAAGCCTGCAAGCAATTTCAAAGCATCTAAGGATGCTAAGGCAGCTCTGGTAGCATAGTGCCTAAGGCACTTGACTGCTAACCAGAAGGCTGGTGGTTCAAACCCATTAGCCACTCCTTGGAAGGAAAATGGGGCAATGTACTTCTGTAGTAATACTGCCCCGGAAACCCAAGGAGGGGTCGCTGTGAGTTGGGTCCGACTCGACGGCACGTAACAACAACAAGAAGGATGCTAATGAACCAAGGTTGAGAGTCAGCTTCAGGGACTCTGTTTGGATGCTGGTGACCAAATTGAGCTTCTAAGGAAACAATCATGTCCTTATATGGGTTTTTCTCATCAAGAACAATCTAATAAAAAGAATGGCTTGACTGTTATAGCTATTTAATGCAAGGAAGGAATGATTAAAAAAAAAAATTTAATGCCATGTAAGCCATCTGAAAATTTCTTTACTTGGCTGATTAAAGATGGCTTGTCAATTTATTAGAACTGCCAGGACATTCATTGTCTCTCATCTTGGGAGAGGCACGACTTTCATTCAGGGCATTTATTTCCAAACCCATTTCTGAACTAAGAAAGTCTTTGTCAAGTTTGAAAGAAATCTACCAGCTATGTTAGTGTAACAGATGTCAAAATGAGCTATTAAAAAAAAAAAAAGATTTTATTACTGTGTTCATTTTAGTTAGAAATTGTAACCCCTTCATTTGATTGCCAATTCACTGCCAGGGTTTTTTTTTTTTTCTCCCCCTTGGTGAACTTTTACTAAGAACAGTGAAACTTGTGAAAGCCGGGACCCATGTCAGGGAAACCTGCTAGAGAAGGAAAACTCAAATGTTGTTAGGTGCCATCGAATCAGCTCTGACTCATAGCGACCTTCTGTACAACAGACCAAAACACTGACTAGCCCTGTGCCAGCCTTGCAATCCTTGCTATACCTCAAATATTCTGCACTAAATAATGAGTAATAGAAAAGTAGTTACTGCACCCTATCAAAGGCAGAAAACCTGTGAGACCTGGAAAAACAAGGCAGTCCTGTCGTATTCCGGCTCTCATCGTGTTCACTGTATATTTTTATCTGTTTGATGTCTATTTTTTTTTAATGCATGTTATTGAAATATAATTATGTACAGTGAAATACACAAAACTAAAGTGACATGGGTCAATGCATTTTTTTTTTTTGCAGTGTTCCCTCCCTACCCCTCTCACCCATTTCCCTCCATATATAAGCCTTTCCTTGACCCTCCACAACAATGAACTAATAACTATATTTGTCCTTCTGTGATTGATTTATGTCACTCAGCATAATGTCCTCTGAGTTCATCCATATTATGCGGTATTTTGCAGACTCAACATTATTCTTTAGTGCTGCATAGCATTCCATTATGTGTATGTACCATAGTTTGGTCATCCATTCTTCCACTATAAATCTTCGAGATAAGTCCCTTGCCAGATATGTAATTATCGGCAAATATGAATTTGTTGCTGTAATTTTTGTTACGTGCTTTTTCGTGGTGTTGATTTCTTTGTTCCATATAATTTTCTATGATGAGCTCATTTTGTTTATGAATCGTGTTATCACTTCCTCTTTTGCTTTTGTTTTAGTATTTGCAAAATATTTGTGCTGGTCCTCTTTTTTATTTTAGTGTGAAGGTTTATCATTTTTCTTTGAGGTTACTCTGTGATTCATAGTTTTCTTCCCAACTTTAGAACAGTCTGTTCTATCTTATAGTTGTCTTGACTTCCCTACTATCTAAAAATTCTGTAACAACAGTTTTTTCGCTCTTTTTGGTTTGTAGTTGTCCTCATTTGTCAATTAATATCTCTGTTTCCCTTTTTACAATCTTGTAGGCTTCTTTACTTTGGATACTTCCATAGCTGGGTTGGTTTCTGGGTTATGTCATCATGTGTGTTAATGGTCATTTGTTGTTGGCGTTGTTGCTTCTCTGTCCAAAGAGCACCCTTTAGCATCTCTTGTAAGGTTGGTCTGGTTTTGACAAATTCCCTTAATTTCTGCTTATCTGGAAATGTCCTAATTTCACCATCTTATTTGAGGGACAATTTTGCTGGGTATGTAATTCTTGGTTGGAAATTTTTCTCTTTCAGGGTTTTATATATACCATCCCATTG